TGAACATTGCTGTGACACTGTGTGAAATAGATAAGTAGATAAGAAGCTAAGTTGTAACTCAGCAACCAAACAGAACCTATGTGAGTTGAGTGTCTGTGTGTTGGTGATAAGTGACCACAGGGTGTGAGCCATATCTCAAGAAAACACTGAAGTTACTGACGTAAGTCAGAAGGACTTCAGCCAGAAAAGAAATATATAAAATCTGGTAGCTAAAAAGATTCTTTTGATGCTTGGCCACACGAGACTCTGAATCCGTGGGCCTCATCCCGGCACATTGCCCAAAACCTGAGACCGCTACCTGAAGCTCTGCCCGAGACCAGACCGGAGCCTCGCCTGAGACCTGATCGAGGACCTCAGCCTGAGAGCCAGAGACTGACGGGAGTCTGCCACGACCAGACGTGATCAGAACCTGCAAGAGACAGCTCCTCAGCCGGGAGAGTGCACCGATCACGGCGGACTAGAGAACCTCTCCACATGGAGTGCCTGAAGGCTTAACCTCTGGAAGGTACTCCAAGAGACTTTGGGACTCTTAACTGCTAGAGGACCGGGTTTCCCTTTGAGTGTTTGTATTGATGTGTGTTTGTTATGCTTTGACCTAGTAAATGCATAATGCAATCAAACAGTCGTGTGTGAGAATCTCTTCTGTCCGTTGCGCCTGTCCTAAGCTCTCCCGAGAAGCAGTGACACATGTTGGATGTCACACTCAAGCTAGTGGCTTGAGACACATTCAGGACAGTTACTATCAAGTGACTGCTCCCATTCAGGACAGTTTGTAATCCCAGTGCTGGGGAGGCGGAGACAGGAGGATCCCCGGTCCTCTCTGGCCAGCCACCCTAGCCTAATTGGTGAACTTCAGGTCAATGAGAGACCCTGTTTCAAAGGAAGTGAGTAGCATTCCTGAGTATGAACTGAGACTGTCCCTTTCCTTGCATACACGCACACATCTGCACTTATATACACATTTACATACACATGTAAAAAAGATATGTAGAAAATGAAAAAAATTAATGTGAGAATGATTATTCTAAAGGTTAAAGAAAATTAAGATCTAAAAGCGAAATCCATTTTATGTAAGTTGATCTTTTTTTTCCAAAAGCTTTTAACATACGTCCTTTTTAATGTATGTCTACTCCTCTCCCCATGGATATAAAATTATGTGAATAGTGAGTACATGAAAGCATTTCTGTCTGCTAAATGATGATTAGCTGAAATGAAAGAGTTAGCACATTAGACTAAGTATATAGAATACTGTAGTTGTTAAAGCACTGTAATGATTTCTCTACTGTTGTGGGAATCTAGGTTCAAAAACAGCTGTGGGGTTCATTTATTTGCAGATTTGGTCTTTTTGAAGCCATGGCTGCTATTGAAATGATGGATCCCAGGATGGATGCTGGTATGATTTGAAAACAAGTTAATCGAAAAGTTCTCAATTTTGAACAAGCTATCAAGGTAGTCTCCGTTGTACTGTGTGTGTGTGTGTGTGTGTGTGTGTGTGTGTGTGACATTGAAAAAAATCTGTTTTTTTCATATGTTAAAATGTATTTAATAATGAAGTCAAATGAACTGTTCAGGTATATCTTTTAAAGCTTCTCAAATATATAAGAATCTAAAGCAGGCATAGTGGCACATGGCAGTAGTCCGAGCACTAGGGATGTGAAGGATCAGGAGTTTGGTCAGCCTCAACTATATAATGAGTTTGAGACCAATCTGGGCTGCGTGACACCATGTCTTTAAAACAAAACTAGTTATAATATTACTAATATCAATTAAAACCTGGGAATTAATTCCTTGAGGTCCTCATTATAAACTTGTTCTAAATAGTGCATTTGTGTATTTTTAAACTAATTTTGAAGTATTGGAGTATACTGTCAAATGCCAGGATAATTGACTCAGATTACATTTTGTGTATTTATTATATCAAGCAAAATTCTTAAGGCTATGAATTTTAGATTTACTCAGACTCAATTTAGAAGTTTCTTTATATTTGTCAATTTAATTTTGCATGCTTTATGCAAAGAAAGATTAGCTGAGCAAATAGATTTTTTTTGTTTATTAGAAGAAGCATTTCATTACAACAGCATTAACCTTTTCAATAACATTTTTCTGAGCTAGGGTACACCTCTTTCAAAATTGGCTGTACATTTTTAGGTTTACAGATGAATTATTATGCTTGTACAATCTTTTACTCATTATAAACTCCATAAGACATAAAATTAAATGAGGTTTTAACGTTTAAAAAAGATCTCCACTTCGTTGTTAAAATACACAGTTTCATACAGAAAAATTCATTTTAAGGCAATTGACATTGAGACGTTTTCACATGCATTTCTAATCTCTCTATATATGACTA